TAATGCAAATAGAACAAAATTAACAATGCACACTTCTTGAACTTACCGCTGTAAACGGGTAACGGCAAAGAGGAGAATAAAGCTAACATGAACCTTAGCCAGTAGTGCAATTACTTATGTAGGAACAAATTACATATAAAATATAGTCATAACAGTCAATATGGAAAAAGAAAAGTCTCAGATATACCGTTCGTTATTCTTTAATTGGAGATTGCTTAGATAACTGAAAAGTTTTGTTCGGCTACATATGCTCCGTGAAGTTTTTCAAGAGTTCACACTTAGCTCATGATTTATACATAGCTTGTTTGGCATGCTGTCCCGGGAGAGAGCCCTGAGCTCAAGGGATCCTCGAGCCCAGGGCTCCCCCCCTTTTGCAGGGCGAGTGGAGATTGAGCTCAGGTCTATCTCAAACTCCCCCGCTGCTGAGGCCAAGGCGAACTTCCTGAGAGTAAGACATTATAAAAAAGGTTTAGGCTTGTTTTATCTGTAATATAGAGCACATTTGGATGGTGGGAGGAAACCGGGGAACCCGGGGGAAACCCACGCGGACACGGGGAGAACATGCAAACTCCACACAGAAATACCAGATGGCTCAGCGAGGACCCAACACCATTGGTATTCTTGCTGTGAGGCAACAGTGCTAGTCACTGGGCCACCGTGCCGCCCATTCTGGATAAAGGAGGAAGAAGGGGAGGAGGGGGGTTTCTTCCAGACGAAGATAGTTGTAGAAAGGAAATGAGGATATATATAGTGGTTTGGGATCCTTTGATTGGAGGATCATAATTAGTTAATGTGGACCAGCTGGGTAAATCATGAGCACATGCTCCTCTCGAAATTAGTTTAAAACTAAACTTCACTTAGGGAATAAGTTCAAGGTTTTTTTCCAGCAACAAAAGCATAAGGGCCATTCCACAAAACCTTTTTGCCTTCCTCGCGAGCCTTCTTGACTAAAGGCCATAACTTGGCTCTAGCATCCACATCCTGTTTGATTAACGCCTCCTTGATGCGAATTCTGTTTTCCGCTAGATAGCGAGAGTCTTTTGCAGCTCGCCATACAATGTCCCTGTATGTACGCATAGTGAAACACATCACGATGTTACGAGTTGCTCCGTCAGACCTCCTTAGCCCCAGCCGGTGAGCAACATCAATTACATCTTTCATCTTGTCTTGTATACTAGGGAACACCTGTTTCAGGATGCTGATTGTCACACTTCTCGTGTCTTCTCCGTCGCGCTCTGGAACCCCTTGTAACTTAAGATTCCATCGCCGTTAGTAGCGCTGCATTTCGTCAAAGTTCTCTTTTAGACGTAGGTTTTTTGCCAGCAATTCTTTATTCTCCTTCTCAATTTGAGCTATTCTTACGCCATGTGTCTTGATCTCTTCACTCATGTGGGAGACTTTTTCAGACAATTTATCTAGTTTTTCATAGGAGAATGCGACCATATTGTCAATGGAAATCACTTTGTCGTGCGTTTCATCCATTTTAGCGGTTAGCTTCTGAATCGTGTCAAGTAGTGTAGATAAGGATATTTCATCCGTACCTTTTGACCTCGTTGGATTCTTGGATGGAGTAGAACAAATAGGCTTTGCAAAAACCTCTTCATTGGCACCAATTTCTGTCTCAAGATCGATATTCTCCATGTTTGCAGACTCCATACCCCCTTCTTCCACGAGGTATCCAGCCAATATAGCACTTTCCTGAAGGGACTGATTCTTTCTTTTTTTCCCCATTGTCACGTCAGAGATTAAATAATAAACGTTAAAAATATTCAGGAACACATACGCTTTCAAAATTTAAGATTTTATTTGCAAAATAACCGCTTTGTTAACTTTAAAACTCCCCGTAGTACCTAAGCACTAAAAAAACGTGACCATTCACTCTGCTGCCATCTTTGCTCCCCCTCCGGTGAACCGATTTCTGACCTGTGCCGAGAGCAAAGTGACATCATAACCCATCTGAGACAGCAGCCAGGAGAAGAGTCCATTAATCTCAAAGCAGAATCCTCCACGACGATTCACCACGATTTTTTCATACAGAAGTGGCAGCTCCAGCCAGACCCGACCCAGGGTGTGAATGGTGAGGTTTTCAAAGGGAACCGTCAGTAAGTGGTTCAGGTGTAGATATCGCAGAGTCTCCAGTGTCGAGGGACACAGACCAGAAAAGCCGATACGACCCAAATACCTTTGAACATCCATTATTTAGCAGTGTAGCTATTGTTTAGCTCAATTACTTTAAATCCAAATACAGTCGAAACAGCAGCACAAATATTAAACTTTAGACAACCTCTCAAGCTAGCTTGCACAGGCTGTAAACTCGGGTTGTACTTTCTTGGAAGTCCACGTCTCATGCACACGACACGAAACATGTCATCGATCCTCCCTTAAAATGTATTGCAAATAGCCTTAAAACCAGACTGAATACTGAAACTATGCTGAATGGAAAACCGAAAGTGGTAAATACAGATACTAAAACAGACGCTAAAGAAATGTTGCCAGATATTACGAAAAAAGTAATTTGTTCAAAAAATTCAAGATAAGCTAAATGAGTACAGCTGTAAATGAACTGAATGTTTTTTTGACAATGTTTTACTGATGATTTTCTGATTTTTACTTATATATTTCAGGCATTTTAACGTTTTAGTTTTAAAATGTCAATAGTTTTGTTTAAAGAAAAAACATTGTTTAAGTGTATATACTACTACTTTTTGACACATTATTAAAAAAAACCTGGCTAAGAAATACTGTTATGTTTTTGTTTTGTTTGCAATTGATTCATATAGTCATGCATTTTAAGCATCCTGAGATTATATTTAACACTTTGGCTACAGTTAGCATAGCTTCATCACTGCTGTAACTGTATGAACGAAGATGTAGCGCATCCTTTCAAAAAAGCTTAAATATAATCTCAGAATCCCTAAAATGTATGAATGCTAAAATGCATGACACAACAGCACGTTTATTAACCGAATTCATGTAGCACATAGGTCTCAAACTTAATTCCTGGAGGACCGCAGCTCTGCAGTTTTGCTCCAACCCTAATAAAACAAAGCTTATCTAACTAATCAAGGTGTTACTAGAGGCCCCATTTACACGTTTTAGTTTTAAAATGCATACATTTTGCTATGGTTTGGCAATCTGTCTACGCCAGAGTTTTCGAGCACCGAAAAGGTAGGTTTTTGCAAAACGCTGGAGAGGCCATTTTAATTTTAAAACACTGTTGCTCCGTGTTAGTGTGGATGGGGAAAAGCGAAGACATCTGAAAACAGAGGCGGGGCTGCAGACATTCTCTTATTTGATTGGAGCTTTTTCCTCAATATTAAGTACCCTACACACAGTTCAGTCTTGCATCTACTTGCATCTCTGCAAGTTTGATATGGAAAACAGACTCCCAAGGACACGTCGGGTAAATCTTCAAAGGGAACAGTTTACTTTATAACCTTATTTACATTACCCTGGCTACGTTGTTTCCCTTCCTAACAATAAAATGAAAACATGATATCAGGATCTACCTGTTTTAATTTTCATCTTAGCATCTTAACAGACACCAAAAATGCTGAGGCGTTGTGCTACATATTTATATGAAGGTCATCTTTACTGTTTACATGTTAACAAAACGGAGCCTATAACATTACTGCCTTCCTTCATTGTCAGTAAAAAATACGAAACATACCCTCTCTTTTGCTGAATATTAGTTTTAATAATTAATAATGGCCATTATAAAAGTATAACGCACAGCAGTAAGTTTATATAATATAGGAAATAAAGACAAACAGTCAAATGTGCAGAATCAGTGTACGTGGTTACATAAATTAACATATTAACTTATCTTTGCGCTCAGCCACAACATGTTACCTGAGAACAAGCAATAGATTCAAAAGTCGGGGAATATGTCATAGATGGAGACAAGACTAATTACTGTAAATATCACGTTTAACAAATACAGTAAGATTAGATCCAGCGGTAGATCCCTGATGAACCGTCCGATGTGCACAGGTCTCATCGCTGCAGTGCATGCCAGAGAGTGTGGGGTCACGTGATGTGCGTTTCATCAGTATAGTGTAGACAGAGAGTTCAGAGACGCTGGGTGAAATGCCAGTGTGGACGCGGGTCGTTCTCATTCTAAAACACCCTTTTAAAACTAAAACGTATTAGTGTAAAAAGGGGCCAGAGACTAATACAGTAAGCAGGTGTGACTTGGAGGTGGTTGGAGATAAACTATAAAGTTGTGGCCCTCCAGGAACTGAGGTTAAGACCACTAAGTCTAATGATTATTTGTTTTTACACTTTTGCTTAGATTTGACATCTTTTACAAGCGTATTTGTCTGCTACGTCGAGTCTTTGAGAACAAAAGGCTCAATACGTGTAAATCTTTTACAGTCTATGGTGTAAATATCCCAAAACGTGTTCATGTAGAGTTTTGTGAGTTATGGTGATTGATCAAGCTCACGCTATTCAATTTATTGAGGTAATCATTATTAGCTGTATTAGGGAAAAATGGATTTCGTATCTTTTGTATCCCTCTTGTGTAAACAGTGACTTCAAAAACACAAGGTTATTATTCATTGTAATGATTAAGTGCTGTCATTTATTGAAATAAAAGTAAATACAAACATGTCCATGGCAACTTACCTAAAATTATTAACAATAAAAATGTAAATAAACAAATTATTGTATTAAAATAAAATAAAAAATGACAAAGGGCATAACAAAATTACTGTAATTTCATCTAACATTAAAAAGCTGAATTAAAATGTTGATGTAGATTATAATAAAACAACAGTTTAATAGAATAATTCAGTTTAATTCAGTTGTATAATAGAACAGTGTTATCATGATGAAGTTAATATTTACATTGACAAAAATGCAATTTTAGTCTATTTATTTTAAACTGTCATAATTTATTAACACTAAAATACATTCACTTTTATTAATGAAGAAAGACCACCATTAAAATTAAAAAAATTTAATTAAAATTAATTAATCTTAATCACATTTATTTATTAGCTACAATTAGCCAACATTCATTATATAGATTAAATGTAATATTCTAAAAACAATCAAACAAAAAACTGATAGCTAATGATTGCTTAGTAGTTTTTTCACTGTCACTTGTATTAAATAGAAAAAACTGGCTTTGGAACTTGAAGTGAGTAACCTAAATGTTGTATAAATGTTATATTTATTAACAATCTCTTTAAAGTGCAAGAAAGACCCACCAAATAAACAAACACTTAATACTTGATTGGTGGTAAAACCACGTTATCTTTAGGAATGAGTGGAGCTTGAAGAACAATTCCAAACTTCTCCCTCAACAGCTCTGTGATTTCTTCATCTGAAAGATCTGTTATGGTTCTTGATGCATGTTCTCCATCACCTGAGCCCAAACTGCTTATAATCAGTCTGCGGCCCATGATGGTGATTCTCCCGGTGGGCAACAACAGTGAACAGAGAGACTTACAGAACATAAGTGAGCTAACAGAACTCTGATGGTAGTCACACATGGCTCTGAAATCAGCTCTGTCTCGAGGCTCAAGAGTGAACTTATACTGTTCTGTCCAACATTCCCCACCAATCTCTGACTTACTTTCCATGAAAATCAAGTTTCCTTCAGATCTGAGGCGATAAACGCCGTGGCTCTGGATCTGAGGACTGTCAGTCTCAAGAGAAAGAGGAAGCTGGAATCCAGACCCAAACCCAACATCGCAGAGCCACCTGTGTTCATCCACCTTCACCATCAAGAACAAGTGGTCGAATGGAGGTCCGTAAGCTCCGGTGAACCGACTCCTGATCTGTGCCGAGAGCAAAGTGACATCATAACCCATCTGAGACAGCAGCCAGGAGAAGAGTCCGTTAATCTCAAAGCAGAATCCTCCACGATGATTCACCACGATTTTTTCATACAGAAGTGGCAGCTCCAGCCTGACCCGACCCCGGGTGTGAATGGTGAGGTTTTCAAAGGGAACCGTCAGTAAGTGGTTCAGGTGTAGATATCGCAGAGTCTCCAGTGTCGGGGGACATGGACCAGAACAGCCGATACGAGCCAAATACCTTTGAACATCCATCATTTAGCAGTGTAGCTATTGTTTAGCTCAATTACTTTAAATCCAAACTCAGCCAAAACAGGATCACAAACATTAAACATACAAGCAAGCAAGCACACACTGTAAGCTCTGATTGTACTTTCACAGTAGTCCAAGTGTCATGCCCATGATATTTAAGGAGGACAGAAAGCATTGTCATCAATCCTTCCTTAACCCCTTCAGACCTGAATGTTCCAACTTTCAGAAAAATGTCAAAGTACATTTCCCCTGTTCAAACGAGTTTCATAAATTAGACCACATGAAAAGAATAAAAAATAATTAAAAATAAAATAAAACAATACAAATTGTGGATCTTTACTTCTCAATGCAAAAAAAAAAAAAAGAATAATTATATATCATTCATTTATTTTTACTTCAGCTTAGTCCTTTTATTAATCTGGGGTCACCACAGCGGAATGAACCACCAATTTATCCAGCATATGTTTTATGCAGCGGATGCCTTTCCAGGGCGTGATAGCCCCTGGAGGAAAACATGCAAACTTCACACAAAAACGTTAACTGACCCAGCCAGGGCTTAAACCAGTGACCTTCTTGCTGTGAGGTGACAGTGCTAACCCAAGAGCCACCATGCCGCTGAATTTTATATTACTTTAAAAATAATTTTCAGATTTTGGTTTTATAGACTGCACATTATTAGAAGCCACTTTATATTATAATGGACAGACTTTCAAAAAAAAAAAAAAAATCTGTCATCATTTACTTACCCTTTATTTGTTTCAAATCCTGAGGGCACAGGCCGTCAACATGACATCATATTGACCTTGTAAACTACCCCGACGTCATTTGGCGTTGGATTTTGTTTGGAAATGAAAATCGGGTTGACATCAAAACGCAATGTAAGGCGGACATCAATGTCTAATGTCCAACCTAATATCAACGTCAACTCACGTTACACCTTGGCGTTGTATGGACGTTACCACTATGACATCTAGCAGACGTTGGATTTTGGTCACTTTCCAGCACAACCTAAAATCAACCAAATATCAACATCTACTCATGTTACACCTTAACATTGTGTGGACGTTACCACTATGTCATCTATCAGATGTTGGATTTTAGGGTCACGTGTTGGGATCAAAGCAAGGAACAACAGAGACGAGGATCCAAGTGCAGGTAAAATAAGATTATATTTAAGCAAAACAGGGACAAACAGAAGTGGCTGATACAAAAAAGGGCAATACAAAAACGTAGACAATAAGGTCAAAAATAGGTGTCACAAACAAGGCTAAAGTATAAAAAAAAAAAAAAAAACAGACAAAACAACAAGATGCTAGGACATGCATGGTACATACATCAAAGACTCTGTGATAACCTGGAGTGTGTGGTGTATATATACTCTGAATGACCAGTCTCAGCTGTGTGTGTGTCATCAACCATGATTAACATCTGGTTTGTTTGAGACATGGCAATCTGTCAGGAATGATCACTGGTGATCATGACATTTGGTCACTTTCCCACACAACCTAAAACCAACCAAATATCAACAAAATTTAAAGTTGTTAATGGACATCAAAATAACGTTGTCCTTAGACGCTGACTAGACATTGAATTTTGGTCACCTGACGTCATGACCTAAATCTAACCTAATATGTCTTATGATGTTGTGTGCCTGCTGGGAACCTTTAAGTGTTTTTTTTCTGTTGAACACAAAAGATGTTATTTTGAAGAAAGCTGGAAATCTGTAACCTTTGAATTCCACAGTATTTGCTGTTTCATCTTTAGAATTCAACGATTGCAGGTTTTTAGCTCTTCTTTTGTTTTCAACAAAACTTGAAAAGGAGAAAAGAAATAAGAAGTTTGGAACCACTTGAGGGTGAGTAAATTGTGATTTTTTTTTTGTGAACCGTTTTACTTCTAAACTATATTCATTATAAGGTATAGACAATTTTTTTTTTAAATCCTGATTTAAAGGATACATGTGTTTGAATGCAAATGTGTGGAGATTTGTTTGTGATGTGGGTAAATTTATATTTAAATTTAGCTTTAAAAATATTTAAATGCATCATACAAATTATGCAGGGTGTACTTTGACATTTGACTTTGACGCAGAATCCACTTCAAAGGTCATGGTTTTCTGTCCACTTTATAGAACACCTAGTCTTATATTAGGTAGAGAAGCATTTTAGAACAAGCTGTAAAAGAACAAGAAGTTTTTGCATGCACACTTTTTGCAAGTCAATTAAAACATTGAGGTAGCAGAGGAAATTGGTTTAGTCGTTTACAATAATTTTTATTGATCAAATACTTGCTTATCCACAGATAGATGCAAAGGGTGATCAGAAGAAAAATTTTTATTAAAAGTGAGGGATAGTAGGTTTGGTCTACAGAGAGAAGAAAATGTTTACTTTAAGCTTTGATTCTAAGGAATTTATTTTTGAACAACATCCCTCCTCACTTCAGAAAACAGCCTTTTAGAGCTTTTAGACAGACCACAACAAAATTGAAATGCAAAAAAAATAGTAATATGTTTTTTTTGCTGTAATTTTACAGTAGTTTGTTTAAAAAAAAAATAATATATATATATATATATATGGATTCCGTTAGTAGTCTCATACTAATATCCCCCTCCCAAATGCAAATAAAACTGTATTTGTTGTGCTTTTCCATTCACTGATGTTTACCCAAATGATGACTTTACTGCTAAGAAACCCAAAAATGTGAAAAGGGCCAATATACAATAAAAGAAATTGTTCAAAACTGTAACAATACAGCAGTTTTGTAAACAAAACAGTCAAATTACCAATCTGAGTTCTGAGTTCATGCGCACATTCGTCTGTTCATGAGTGTGTTGCATTACCTGTTTTCCTCGTCGGTAAAGGGCTGGAACTTCAAGTGTATCTGCATCTCTCAGCATACTATGACATCATTTAACTCGTACTGTTCATCCAGCTCTCTGATACCAATTTTCTCTCTGAGTCTGTGAGTACAGTTTTTTACATTTGCACAGACTCTAGCTTTAAAAATTTTGATATATGAAAAGTTGAAGCTGTAATTTGAGGCAAACATCGCTGGGGATGGTGATGTGGCTGTTACCCGACTTGGTCAGCAAAAAAAAATAAAGTAATCTGTGGGCAGTGGACAAAATGAAACCTCCTAAAAAATTTAAATATTTTTATTTTACCAAATATTCAAATGGAGAACACAAATTATGCAAGGTGTACCTTGACGTTTGGCAGAGTCCACATCAGAGGGCATTGTTTTTCTATTCACTTTATGGAACATCTGGTCCTATATTTCACTAAAGTATTTGGGAACAAGCTGTTTAGGGTGTACTCACACTATGTACAGTTGCCTTGAACATGGCCAAAGCACGCTTGTCCCCCCTCCCACCTAATCCGACGGCCTGCACTCACATTACATTCAGTCCTGGGCACGCTTACGTCATCAATGATGTGCTGTTCAGTAAGTGCTCTCGCTCAGCACAGTGGAGATTTCTTTAGTTATATTGTTTTAGTTGTTTTGGATGCAGCGACACGCAGCCAAATATTTCGCCAAACAGATCAGCCACTTTTGACTCTCATAAACAATCATCAAGTCCTCATGCTGCAGGAATTAGGAGGTTTGCTGAAAGTGCAGCTGTCATGCAGTGGTGGGATTTTGTCTTTAATAAACTACAACGGTTTGCATTTAACAATAAGAATGATTAATTAATCCATATGAAACACTCACTTAAAGGGTCATGAAACACCAAAATATGTTCTTTGAGCTGTTGACAGTCTGTTGTCTCACACTGCTAAAAAAACTATTAGGACACATATATTTCACTAAAAAGTGAAAACTGGTTGTTTTTGCATTATTTCAAGCAAATTCCTACATCCGGTTTAAAACTAATTTTTGAAGCTGCATCACAGCCATGAGATCTTAGCGTGTATTCTAGCCTTTAGACTGGACGTCTGTACCTGGGAGTGCCTTATTACGTCTCTGAGTGTGCTGCATTCATTCATGAATAAGATTTGTTTTCACTCTATTGTGTTTGCGGTTCAACTTTATTAATATGCATGATAGCTTCCAAGACTGTTTTTACCTGTTACAGTGTTTAGACGGCAGAGAGACGCCACGTTGTGCTGCAAAGCGGGAGAAAAATTGTTTGGAGTTACAGGTCGTCAGTATGGCTTTTATAATTTGCTGCAGTGAAGGTTTTGTTTTCATTTTCCCTCTATAAGAGCGCAGCTGGACTCACATGTGGATTACAGTGCACGCCACGTGTGACAGAAATATGTGTCTAAGGAACATTTTTTACCCGAGAGCTTTTCTCATCTGGAAATGGTGAAATCCGGATTTGCCGCTCGTCTCCTTTACATAAAGACGCGGATCCAGTTGGTGTTGATTGTCCTGTCTCTACAGATTTGGTAAGTGAGCGACTAGTGGTCTTTGTTTGTTTATTCAGAGGCCTAACCTAGTTATCCTAATTAACCTAGTTAAGCTTTTAAATGTCACTTTAAGCTGCATAAAAGTGTCATTAAAAATATCTAGTAAAATATTATTTACTGTCATCATGGCAAAGATAAAATAAATCAGTTATTAGAAATGAGTTATTAAAACTATTGTGTTTAGAAATGTCTTCTCTCCCTTAACCAAAAATTGGGGAAAAAATAAACGGGTTTATGGAATAAAATCACTGTCATAAATATTTTGTGCGTAAATAAATATTCCATAGGGGTTCTAATAATTCAGGGGGGCTAATAATTCTGACTTCAACTCTATGCACAGTATAAATATGATCCATTCTTCAACTACGGGCACTTTTAGCCTTGTGAAGTTGAGTAAAAAAAAAACCTGTTCAAAATTAACGTAATAGCCTCAAAAGTTTAAACAATTTGTCTAGTTTTAAGATCTGTAAGAGTACAAAATTGGATAAGAAGAGAAACATTTTTCTCATCGTGAACTGAAAATGTCATTTCCACCACATCTTAGTATACAGCTTTTATTTCAAAATTTAATAAACTTTTCCACAATATGTATACAATGGGGTATATGCCAAAGCATGCAAATAGGACTTTTAATTTGCCAGTAACCTGGGTTAAGCGCTTCCGGCGAATTGAATGCCAATGCAAAATCCGTGCGTTTAAGGTATGTTTTCTTTAAAGATGAGCGATCTCCACTAGCTGAGTGATGTCCGATTTAAAGTGGGTCTCAGATTGTACAAGAAGCACTGCATTAAATTACATTTCCCCTGCCATGTCTTTATAATATGAGCATTTATTTTACCCCAGTATATTCAATGGAGCTTCTGTGTTAGCCTGCCGATTCTGACAGGCGCGTGCGAGTAAACAGCTTTTTGTCTCGTTTTACGCTTGAGCAACCAAATAAATGCTAACGTTTATTTAACTGAATGTATTTTAATGACATTACAACATCGATGCTGTATAAGGAACCGTATAAAATGGAAAAAAGTTCACAATAACAGGTCACCAGAAGTGTATCAGCATGGATACAGCACTAGCTCGGCTTATACCCTATTATACATTTGTTAATAAAATAAATTAGTTGTATGCTGAATTTTTCACCTGTCACCCTCTACAATTTAATATTATTTTGGTTAAGAGCTTATGAGAAAATAAAATAAACTGAATTTGTATAATAAATAAAGCATGAACTTATACATTGTGAATACACTTTTAATGTGTGAAGAGAGCTTTTTAAAAAAAATTAAAAATGAGAGTGGTGATGGAAATGACAGTGGTGGAAATGGCATTTCAACAGTTTATTGTGAAAAAATGAAAAATATCTTCACCGATTAGGTTTGAATTGATTCTAGCCTTTCATGTATACAAAACACTCTTATTTATCTTCATTTTGCTTGGTTTTTAAAAACAACTTTAAAGGGATCTCCACAGGATACGCAATGCTACAATAAATACGCAACCTTTTATAAGCGGAAACCTACATATATTCGGAGGACATGGCAACAACAGCTGTAGTTAACGCCCTTTATTTGACATTGACCAATCAGATCACAAAGAGCTCTTTCGGCGTCTAGGTGACGCTTCCAAACAACACGTTGCTATGAAAAACAGAACAAGTCGCTGCTGCATTTTAGGATGCCAAAAAACTATATATAATACTATTAATAGTATATTTTCTATAAAGTACTAACTATTATATTAATAAAACGACATAATCGCATCTCTTTATTTAAAATAACATAACGGTAAGTCTGGATAATAGATAGAGTTAACTTTAGCACGTACGTTTTTGTATAACGTTAATGTACTGTATGTAACGTATTTTCTTTAATCATGTTTTAGTGTTATGTGACATGAAATATGCTGATATGGCCTTTCCCGTTTTGCATGTATTGAATTCATGCTATTTCACTTTTTATATATATTGTAACATATATTGTATTAATATACTTTTTGTGTGTGCAGTTTCTCTTTCTTATCCTAAAACACAGCTCAAAGTGAAGTGATGCCTCTTTCAGAAACCATGTACTGCGCTCAGCAGATCAACATCCCTCCAGCTCTGCCCAATATGTTAAAGCAGTTCACTAAAGCAGCAATAAGGACACAGCCTCGTGATGTGCTGCAGTGGGCAGCTGAGTAAGCCAAACATTTTGTACTGTGTATTATGCATCCAAATTGCCATTATATGTAATATATGCTTTAAAACTGAATATAAACATGATAAATGACAAGAATTAAACTGTTTCTCCATCAGCTATTTTTCAGCATTATCCAAAGGTCAGGACCTGCCAGTCAAGAAGAGGCTGGAATTGCCAGTGGCGACTCAAAAGACAGACACAGGACTTACACCAGGCCTTCTGAAGATCCTTCATCAACAGGTGTGATCCACAGCACCGTCTTTCTATTTCATATCTGTGAATACTGATGAGATTTGTCTTGCCTGCAGCTTACATCTAAAGAAACAGTTACAAAAGATGAGCTTCTTCCCAAGTGGAAAGCCCTACACTTGCCTGTGGAACAGCTTGACACTATCCTCGCACTTGGAAACTTCAGCGAAAACATTAACTGGATGCAGTTTTTTGCTTTGGCATGCAGCGCTTTGGGTGGGGTAAGTACCTATAAAAAGCGTGCAAATTATACATTGACAATTGGGGGATGTATAATTGTCAATTTATATAAAATGTATAATCAACTTTTTTTGGTACCAGTTTGGTAATGCATGCTTCAGTCAATCAATTAATGTATTTAAATTACATCTCATTTATAAATGTATACGTTTTTAGTGTTTTTGGAACCTATTTTGGAAGTTACTATACAAATTATGTCTATTTTTTATTTATTTAGGCTACATGCAGATAAAAACACCTATTTTACAAGAAGCATTTTGTGAATACTTAAGATGTGCTTTGGTGCACTAGTACTGCCAGTTTTAGACTGTTAAATCATATTTTTTCTTTCTAATAGCATGAACCATTTAAGAATTAAACTAGAGATTAGAGAGAGCTATTTCTTACTAAGGGCTGAGGGCTGAACCCCCATACATCTTGTTTTGATGTCCTTCAAGGGGGGATCAAGTATTAATTTGGGGGTTCAATCCCCCTCATACAAATTAGGGATTATATTCAGTATTTTATTGTATTTTGTATTATTAAAATCTAGTGATAAAGTATAAAGAATTAAAATGACAGTTACTGAGAAATAACTATACATTGTAATGTTTTAATAAGAGTTTTTAATAAACCACATGTTTGTTTTTTGTACCGAAGTAACACAGTAAATAGACTATGTTATACTAAATGAGATTCAGTGGGTTCATTCTGTAAATCATGTATTATAGTTAGGGCTATGATTAAAACCTAGTGTTAAAGTATAAAAAATTAAAATGACAATTAATGAGCATTATAAGGATCAGATTGTAATTTTTTAAATAATTTATAAAATGACGATTAAATTTCTGTACCTGGATACTGTTATGGTTCCAGAAAACCATGAAGTACTGTTTATTTCACTTTAATCTTTGCGCTGTTGTATTTATGCTTGTAATTTATTATGATTTATGCAAATGCACTGCATATAAAAAATAAACTTGATCATTCCAATTTATCTAAATGAATGAATTCTTTTTAAATAGAGCTATTCAATTCATCTGGTGGTATATCGCAATATTTTAAGCAGAAAAAAAATATTGCAATGTCTGATTTTTCCAGTATCATGCAGTCCTAATTACACTCTCAGAAATAAAGGTACAGGAGCTGTCACTGAGACAGTACCTTTTCAAAAGATACATATTTGTACCCAAAGAGTGCACAGTGGCCAAATAAGTGGCCAAATGTTGCTAAAATGTACCTCTGGTGTACCATTATGAACCCTTCAGGTACAAATGTGTACCTTTTGAAAAGGTACTGCCCCAGTGACAGCTCCTGTACCTTTATTTCTGAGGGTGTATAGTCATTATTTTTTTCTCTCTCTCAAAAAATACAAATAAAAATAATATAATAAAAATAAAACTGTAAACATTCTAAAGTACACAAAGTTATAAATAAATATGAATACATTTGAAAAATAACAATGTTTTACACTTTAAGGAAAATGTTTCTTTGGTCCAAGAACTTTGTTTTCAATTCAATTCTATTAATTGACTCTAGATGGCAGTGTTGGATTTTTAAATGGCTTTAACTTTCACAGAGTTGAACGAGAAATATTGAGTGCAGTGATGGTCATAATTTAAAGTGTGCAAAGAAATGTCAAAAAGCCCACTATATTCAATTAAAATACAACTAAAATTAAAGTTAAATCACACTGAACTGAACGAAACTAAAAGTCAACTGGACTGGATTGGACTAAAACGGACTGACACATTACTAATTTACTAGAACTTCTATGTTAAACTCCTTTGACACCGTTTACATTGTAAAAGCACTATAGAAATAAACATGAATTGAATTGAATATTGTTCCCACAGAGCATCACGAGTGCTTTGAAACATGCATGTGAAATACTCACAGAGGACCCTGAGGGTGGTCCAGCACAGATTCCTTTCCACATGTTTCGCAGTCTGTACACATACTTGGCCCATCTGGATGGAGAAATTCCTGAAGAACAGATCGACAGTTTCTTGCACAGTTTAGAAGGGCAAGCGTGAGTACACACACACATAAAGCTGTAAATATTCTTTATGAGGACTTCCCATAGCCATAATGTATTTTTTTACACTAAATAATGCTTATTTGATGACCTTACCCCACACCTACACATAAACACAACCCTCACAGTAAATCTGTTGCAGATTCTGAATGACAAAAGACACTTAAGTATGATTTTTAAGCATTTTAAATTATGAGGACACAAGTCATGTCCTTAATAAACAACATTAATGTAATACCTAAGTCATACCCATGTCATTATAAAAGTGTATATCCTCATAAACCATATAAGCAAGTGCACACAACACACATGTACAGCTATCTGGCATAGGTTAAGTTTCATAGGCATCAGTTTCCACAGGTATGAGAACCTTGGATAAAAATATCACAGCTTCATGGTATTGTCATTACCGCCCTTTCTTTTTAAATGTGTGGGTATAAAAACGACCTTTTCCCCCCACTGAACACAATATATTTTATTTTAGGAAACATTTCAGATATTTTCAGGGTGTCCGCAGAGTCTTAAAAGGTCTTTAATTTCAAAAACTAAATTTTAGGCCTTAAGTCTTAAATCATTGTAAATAAGTCTTAATTTTGCTTTGTCCAACAAAAGCTGCTCAGTTGTGCTGACAACCATCCAATCACCAACAATACATCTCAATAAAACCTTATTTTTTATATTTAAGTTTTTTATTGCAGAGATACAGTTCACAACAGCTGTTAGACATTTTTATCAGCAAATTCTTCAAATTAAATTCCTTAATCTGGAAAAAAAGAAAAACTATTATACGATTCCTCATGATAATGCTAGAAAAAATCTCAACATAAAGTCTAAAATTTCATTCTTAATGGTCGTAAAAGTCTTAAATTGGACTTGAATCCTGCAGAAACCCTGATTTTAGAACAGTAAACATGTCAGGCTCACTTACTTACTCCCAGGGTTGTTTATATCGAAGTTAATATTTAAACATGTTTGGCTAAATAATTCAAATTAATCAATGATTTCTTCATTAGTTTCAAAAACACTGATTTTTTTTACAACACACACACACACACACACACACACACGCACACACACACACACACACACACACACACACACACACACTCACACACACAAAAAAAAAAACCCGCAATAAACCTTAAAACCGGTTATCGTCCCATGCCTACAGCTATCTTTATGGGGACTTCCCATAGATGTAATGAAGTTTATACTGTACAAACTGTATATTCTATACTCTTACCTCATATAAACAACACCTCACTCGAAACAATCCGCATTTTTAAATGTTAAAAATACTTCATTCTGATATTTATAAACCTTTTCCCTCATAAGGACCAACAAAATGTGCCCACATGTTCAAAATGTACTGATATTGCTGTAATTGTATGGCAATTTGGTACCCACAACGTTCAGAATACAAGGTATACACACACATACACCAATGTAGTATTCATTCATTTTCCTTAGTCTCTATTTCAGAGGTCACAACAGCGGAATGAACCACCAGCTATTCCAGCATATATTTTATGCAGCAGATGTGGCCCTTCAAGCCACAACCCAGTACTGGGAAACACCCATACGCACTCATTCACACACACACACACACACACACACACAAACACACACTCACTCATACGGCCAATAGTTCACCCAATTCATCTGTAGTGCATGGGGAAAACCGGAGCACCCAAAGAAACATGCAAACTCCACACAGAAATGCCAACTGGTTCAGCTGGGTCTCTAACCAGTGACCTTCTTGCTGTAAGGTGACAGTGCTAACCGCTGAGCCACCGTGCCACCACTTCCAGTTCAGTATTTTACATATTAAAATGGGATACATATTACAACCCATAGTTTAATGATATGACTAATAGAAAAACAAAAAAAGGAAAACACTTTAGCATTATTTTCGTGAGTTGTTTCCAGTTTTATTTTTATTTACCAAAAGAGGACACAAGTTATAAGGAATCAATGAATTGCTTTGACATGGTAGCCCGATTTCCAGTCTTTTTTTTTAGTTTTTTTCTTATACCAGAAACTGCTGTATATTTACCAGTAATCTAAAAGCTACACAATACTTGCATCTTGAAACATCTCATCATGGCGCAGAGTTTAATAGTTTATCAATTGCATAACAAAAGCCGAGACTCTAAACCACAGGTGTCAAACTCAGTTCCAAAAGAGCCGCAGCTCTGCACAGTTTAGTTCCAACCTTAATTAAACACACCTGATCAAACTAATTGAGTCCCTCAGGCCTGTTTGAAACCTACAGGTAAGTGTGTTGGTGCAGGGTTGAAACTAAACTGTGCAGGGCTTCGGCCCTCCAGGAATTGAGTTTGACACCCCTGCTCTAAACCATCGCTGCCTTTACTTATGAGAAAGTTCAATCAATAAACTGCAGCAATAATAGTAAGACTTTACAAACATGGCTGGCTTTATTACGCTGTGTTGTCATACTTCACCAGAACACCAACAGTCTTTTTCTACTGCATTCAAAGAAACATGATTTTTAAGGCACTTCGAAGTGTGGAAGCCCAACACAATATCCATGTTACTTTGAAAGCAGGGGATTTATTGACTAACTTTTAAATAATTACTTGCACAACATTCTTCATAGTTCATTTCCATGGTCAAAAGCCTGTCATGCTGAATATTCGGCCTTCTCTACACACCTTTTCAGATTATTTAAATGCTATTTCTGCTGTATGACATGTTGCAAATCAGCCTTGTTTGTAAGTATTCACGGTAAAATATTAATTTGGTCTGTTTAATTACAATTCACACAATGCATCAGAAGTGCTTTGTACTTACTAGTCTGACTTTGAAGGCCAATTAAAATGTTTCCTCATGGGCTTTATAGGCTCAAATGAAAGACTAATTGACACTTGTAGTTGAAGTTGTTACATAAATTACGAATTTAACAAAATTAAAATAAAGTAGAGCATGTAAATATTAAAAAGTGTAAATATGAAAAATGTTATAATTTACTCAGATTTATGTTTCTTCTTTTATCATTTTTTTCTGTGTACAAGAAATTTAATTTATTACTTTTTTTTTTTACTAATTTTACAGCTGTCAGAATTATTAGTCCCCTGTAGATGTTTTCCACAAAGATTTGTTTAACAGAAAGTAGATTTTTTTTCAACACATTTCTAAACATAATAGTTTTAATAACTTATTTTTAATAACTGATTTTTTTTATCTTTGCCATGATGACAGTACATAATATTTTTCAAGATACTAGTATTCAACTTAAAGTGCAATTTAAAGGCTTAACTTGGTTAATTAGACAATTAGGCCGATCATTGTAAAACGATGGTTTGTTTCGTAGACAAGAAAAAAATGCTTAAGTAAAAATGTAACAACTGCTGTTATTCTAGCCTAAATAAAATAAACAAGACTTTCTCCTGAAGAAAAAATATTATAGGAAATACTGTGTAAAAATTCCTTGCTGTGTTAAACATCATTTGGGAAATATTTGATAAAGAAAAAAATTCACAGGAGGGCTAATCATTCTGACTTTCACTGTATACATTTCAATTATGGCTGTAGTTTTATGCATCCTCAGATAGTGCAGATTGGTATCAGATTTTTCCTTTTTAGAAGTTTAAAATTAAAACCTCCTTTGCTATATGAAGGATCTGAATACAGGTAACCTGTTAAAACTGCATCTGTACTCGAGTCAACAGCTCAATGATTCAAATAAGCAGTTCAAAGTGTGTCTACGGTTAATGATTCACTGATTCAAATGATCCGTTCTGCGTCAGTCTCCAGTTAACGATTCACTGAAAGTACAAACTCATTCATCCATTTTCCTTCAGCTTAGTCTCTTATTTATCAGTGGTCGCCACAGTGGAATGAACTGCCAACTTACCTCGCATATGTTTTACACAGAGGATACACTTCCAGTAGTGGGAAACCCATACAGTCTCATTCACACACATACACTACGGCCAGTTTAGTTTATTCAGTTCACCTATGCCACGTCTTTGGACTTGTGTGGGAAACCAGAGCACCTGGAGAAAACACAAACACGGTGAGAACAAACAAACTCCACATAGAAATGCCAACTGGCCCAGCTGGGACTCGAACCAGCGACCTTCTTGCTGTGAGGTGATAGTGCTAACCACTAAGCCACGTGCCGACCCATGTACATTTTATGTGTATTTAATTTTATGTACTATGTGATATACTTTATTATTTTTATTTGTTTACAAGTTTAAAATGTCATTCATTTGACTGTATGGCTATGCAATGTAAAAAAATCAACCTACAAAACAGCACATATTCACACCCTTCTTATATATGTATACACATATACAGTTGAAGTCAGAATTATTAGCCCCTCTGATTTATTAGAGCCCCGGTTTATTTTTCCCCCTATTTCTGTTTAATAGAGAGAACATTTCTTCAACACATTTCTAAACATAATAGTTTTAATAACTCATTTCTAATAACTGATTTATTTAATCTTTGTCATGATGACAGTAAATAATATTTTACCAGATATTTTTCAAGACACTTCTATATATTTTAAAGTAAAATTTAAAGGCTTAACTAGGTTAATTAGGTTAACTAGGCAGGTTAGGGTAATTAGGCAAGGTATTGTATAACGATGGTTTGTTCTGTAGACTATCAAAAAATATATAGTTTAAAGGGGCTAATAATTTTGTCCTTAAAATGGTGTTTAAAAAATTGAAAACTGCTTTTATTCTAGCTGAAATAAATCAAATAAGACTTTCTCCTGAAGAAAAAAATATTATCCTACATGCTCTGAAAATGTCCTTGCCCTGTTTAACATAATTCGGGAAATTATATATATATATATATATATATATATATATATATATATATATATATATATATATATATATAAATAAATTAAAGGGGGGCTAATAACTTCAACTCTACATACACACATATACACATTCAAATAAAATAACATAACATACCAAAAAACCAGAAATAAAATAATTAAATAAAAATAACAAAATAATAAAAATAATGAATTGAAACATTGAAAAATAAATAATGGCAAAATAAGAAAAAAAAAACAATAATACAATAAAAAATAGTAAAAATATGTTTACAAACACGCAATTTACATAATACTGATATAAGGTCCCCAAAGATAGTCAAAGTTCCTGCCTATGATGATATAAATTCTTGCTGTCTCCCAAGTCGTTTTTTTCTACTTTGAAAAAAGTAAAAATTTAAAAGGAGAACTAAATACATTTACTTAATACATTTACTTTAAATAACATTTTATTTAATTTTAATTAGTATCTAATTGTAACTAAACTTCATCATAAATAATGCATAATGGTCATTTTTACAGCAATATGATAGAAGAACATTTTTTTCTTATAAAGATAGTCTAATGAAATCGAAAGAACAGTTTTGTGGAAAGAAACTTCTCAATGGGTGATAAAGCTTCTTCATGGCACCACAGAACAGGCCTTCTTCAGGCCATAAAATAACCTGTATTTTAAAAAGGGTATTTGAGAAAAACTTAAAACTGTCTGAAAGACAATAGGAAAACAGATACAAAGTTGCCTGCTGTTTTGCATGTCTGTGCATCCACTAAAGCAAACCAACATCACCACAGTTTGCCCTTTCTTAACAGAGTCATGTGCATTCTGACACACAGGCTGGCATTTGATAGAAACAGAAACAGGATCCTAGAAACAGGATATCCTAGAATGAATGCAGTAATACACAAATGTTGGGAATCATGTTTGTGAGTCAATATCACACACACAGAAGTGAGAAATGCAAGTGAACCAGCCTGTTTTGGAATAATCACTTTAATAAATGAAAGTGAAACGGAATAAAAAGGTTGTTATTTTCAATTAATAAGCAGGAATGTTTTCTGGTTTCTGGATGACGTCAAACCTGTTTACATTTATAGATGTTAAAATGGAAACTTTTTTTCTGTTTTCAGACAAAGCCAAGGAGGAATGGTGCAACCTTCAAACTTTACAAGCCTCCATACTGCTGAGAAGTAAAATCCAGATGGCCTTCAAGCACTCAAAAATATTGATTCTAGTTACTGTGTTCTGTTTTTGCCCTCTTTATCCGGTATAATGTGGTGTGATTGTATTATTTAACCCCAAATAAATTCTCGTATCTTAAATATAGGTTGCATGGAGCAACACAAAAGTGAAAGAAAGGTCACTGGAAAATTAGGTGCTTGTTTAAGCATGTGTAAGATTTTAGTTTTGATAACGACTTACAGATTTGCTATTCATACTATACACTGGGGTTTTCAAAAAAAAAAGTGTATCAGTTTGGTTATAATGTGGTTCTATTTTAACAACAATTACAACTAAAATCTCATACTTGACACAAACATAATTGTATCTTTATGGGGACTTAATGATAATGTTTTTTTATACTGTACAAACTCTATATACTATCACCCCACCCAAACCTTAACACAAACCTCACAGGAAACATTAAGCATTTTTACATGTTGATTCTTGACATGATTCTGTGTGATTTATGAGCCATTTTTGTCATGTGGACCAAAAAAAATCTCCACAAATCTTGCTATACTTGTGGAGACATTCAATATTTCCACTGTCAGAAATACAAGTTACACAGACTGTTTAGACTGAAAACAAAATCACGTTTCTATCCTTGTAATGCTGTGCACATTTGTTTTTTGGAGAAGCTGGAGTACAGTAATAGTCACCCTGTTCGTCCAATTAAACACCTTTTCGAAGATGAAAAGAGGCTGTGCACTAATTTGGAACAAAAATAAGGTACTAAGCCTTCATAGAGCTGTTAATGAAGACCATTTTCTCTTAAATTAGCTGATTGGTCCCTCAATAATCAAGCCAGTTTTTCCAGGCTCATTCTGAAACTGTACAGTACCACTATAAATTCTGGAGAGTGCCAAATACGTCCCAAGAGCTACATTGTTTTGCAGTTTTTGTTTTCGCAAATCCACCAGAGGCCGCTGTGTATTTTTTTTTCAGATCTAAAATATCTTTCGCGAGTGCCATTTGCGCTGGCTGTTCTCATGTAAATCTACCAGAGGCCGATGTCAACTGACTGACTGACTCCTTCCATAAACCCAACCAATAGTGTTTTCAAAAGAACAGATTTACCCACCCACTTCCCTAAACCAAACCGGCAGTTTTAAAAAGCATTCCAGAAAAAAAAAGCTCTTGCCTGATTTTTACCACATTTTCATATTTTACCACGTTCCCACCCTTTTATTTAATTAGGGTGCTTTCACACTTAGATTTTTGTTTCGGGACCTGTCTCGTTTGCCCAGTTAGCGCAGTTCATTTGGCATATTTGAAACCACCAATCGCGCTCGGATCCGTGCCAAAACAATCGCTCCGAGAATGCTTGAATGAGGTGAAACGAACTCTGGAATAGATCGATTGTAGTGACAAAGCAAACGATCCGAGCCCCGCTATAACACAGTGTATTATGGATATGTAATAGGAATGAAGAGAGTTATGAGTAGAGCGGGAGGTCATTCCAGACTTTTCAAGTCTCCCTGAAGTTTTGTGAGTCTCCCGCAAATGCACAGAGATTCCCGGATGCCCGCAAACGAGTGATAATTTCCCGAAAATCTCGCGTCTCCTTCCCGGTCCTCAAAATCCCCTTCTCACCCCTTCCCACCGCATCCCTCCTCGCTCTTCAGACAAGTCACACGCACCCTGTCAAACACCACCAAACCCCCCTACAGCTGAGCGGGACTATGCAAAATAAACTGTAAAACTCTGACCAATGTGAGGAGAGTTTACTCACACGTGACTTGTTTTAGCTATTTTTGTCTGTTTAGAAACATTGCCGTGTGAAAGCGAACCACGCAAAGAGCAACAATATAACAATTTTAATCCCTGTTTCGGAACAACTGAATCGATTCACAGGTGTGAAAGCACCCTTAGTTTGTTTATTTTTTGGCTTCAGTTTTTGTCTTACACACTTTCTGGAAATGTTCTTTACTGGACTCAAACCCCATCATCGTGGTCAACTCCTCTCTGCATCTCAAGTCCACCAATGTACATGGCGAGCTACTGAGCAAACTGGGTAAGTGGTCAGCTGGTGAGCGCGAAAGAAGTCATACCGCCTCGTAGCAATTGTTTTAAAAATGAAATGCAGTCATATGTACTTCTGGCTACATTATTTAAGATCTCCAGAAATGTATATAGAGCTACGTTTTCAGAATTAGCCTATGTTGGTATTTGCAGATTAACCCTCCCCCCCAAAAAAATGCAAAAAAAAAAGAAAATTTACTTACTATATTTTCACTCTCAAGTGGTTCTAGATCTAGGAAAGTTCTGTAGAACACAAAAGAATATGTTTTGCAAAAAGCTAAATGGCATAGTGGTTAGCACTATTGCCTCCCAGCAAGAAAGTAGCTGGTTCGAGTTCTGGCTGGGCCAGTAGGCATTTCTGTGTGGTGTACATGTTCTCCCTGTGTTCGTGTAGGTTTTCTCTGGGTGTTCCAGTTTCTTCCACAGTCAAAAGACATGCAGTGGATGAACTAAATTAGCTGTTGTGTATGAGTGTGTGTTGTGAATGTGAGAGTGTATGGGTGTTTCCCACTACTGGGTGGTGGCTGAAAGGGTCGCTTTGTAAAACATATGTAAAACAGAATAGTTTGCGGTTCATTCCGCTATGGAGACCCCTGATAAATAAGGGCCTTAGTCGAAGAAAACTGAATGAATGGATAAACCAGCAGACATTAATATCCATAGTTGGAAAAACAAATACTATGGAAGTCAACGGTTATCAGTTTGTAACATTCTTCAAAATATCTTCTTCTGGGTTCAACAAGAAGTTCAAATTATGAAAGAATTGTACATTTTAGGTGAAATGTCCCTTTAACAAGGTTGTTTATATTTTGCAACCATTTTAAATAAGCAACAGCCTCAGCAATCGTTGTTTGATAGGGACACATTAACCTTTAAAAAGTTAATATCAAAGCTTGTTGGTCAAGGATCCTACATTAACTTTTACTCAGCATGAAGTTCTTCTCTGTTGATCGGCTCCTGGGGATTTATTAACCTAAGCAGGCCAGAGTGCTGAGCTAATGTAATTGCTTAAGCTGAAGCAGCCAAGGAGCGGCATGGGTTTAGTTTATTCTAAAGGATGCTTCAGTTTTAATAATTATACAGCATACAACACATTTCATCATCGCCTTTGGTAATGTCCAATTGTACTCCTCTTTTTTTATAAATATATATGTTTAGATGAAAAGTTACTGCAGGGAACTAATTGCGACTTTCAGAAGATTGTTTCACATTACAAGGACTGGCAAATACAGTTTTTTGGATTTGTTTTAGGTTTCCACACATCCTTTCTACAGTCGAAGTCAGAATTATTAGCCTTCCTGAAATATTAGCCGTCCTGTATAAATATATTTTTCCTGATTTCTGTTTAATTTAAAGGAGATGTTAAAACATTTCTAAACTAACAGTTTTAATAACTAATGTCTAATAACTGATTTATTTTATCTTTGCCATATTGACAGTACATAATATTTGACTAGATATTTTTCAAGATACTAGTATTCAGCTTAAAGTGACATTTAAAGTCCTAACTAGGTTAATTAGACAAACTAAAAAGAATTGGGCGTCATTGCATAACAGTGGTTTGTTCTGTAGACAATCGAGAAAAAAATATTGCTAAAGGGAGCTAATAATATTGACCTTAAAATGTTTTTTTTTTTAATGTTTTTTTTTTAAATGTTTTTTCTTTATGTACAACTGCTTTTGTTTAAGCCAAAATAAAAACAAATAAGACTTTCTCCAGAAAAAAAAAAAATATTATTGAAAATACCGTGAAAAAATTCCATGCTTTCTTAAACATCATTTGGGAAATATTTAAAAAAGAAAAACAATTCACAGGAGGGCTAGTAATTTTGACTTTACTGTGCACATAAGTTTGCAAACGCACACACTAGTAAGCGCAATAGTGAGTGGGGCTTGAAAAACCACCTGTCATAGGCACATTTTTTTCTCTCTCCAAATGCACCTGATACTTTCTTGTAAATACTTTCTGGAAAAACTTTGTAAACATTTAAAGTATGCGTAATTATAAAAATAGAAGAAAATACAAAACACAATAATTTAGCATTTTAAAAAAATCACAATAAAAACTAAGCCATTTAATCCAACTAAAATAATTTTCTATTAATTCAATTTTTCAGCAATTACATCACCAGATCTGCCCTTAAAATGCAACATAGGCTTATTTTGAAAATGTAGCCCTATATACATTTCTGGAGATCGTGAAATATGTAGGCAAAAGTACATATGGCTGCATTTCGTATTAAGAACAAACGTTACAGGAGGTATGACGCCATTCCTTTTTGTGCTTACCAACTGACCGCTTACCTCGGCATCGACAGCTTTCCCATCATTACCAGTTTGTCCAATAGCTCACCATGCATGTTGGCAGACTTGAGACGCAGAGAGGAATTAACTACGACGACGGGGTCCGAGTCCGGAGTTTCTCACTTATTGTATGTCCTGTCCTGTCACGATTTTGGATTCGAGTACACAATACTTTTTCACACAATAAATATTAGCAGACTATAAATATAACATATTGACTGAATAGTTGTAAGCACATACCTACATTTAAGTCGTAACTTTTAAGTCACAATCTATCATGCAATAGGTTGATGATGTGCTTTTTGCGAATGTTTGATGAAAATGTCTTATTTAAAGTACAGTAGCTGACATCCATTATTGTTTTTGCACATATGCTTGTCAATTCATCACGTCTATTGCTGTATTTAACGCTACTGTTTTTACTCCATCTGTCCAAAGAAGGTTAATTTATTCTTTTAAACCTGACAGTGTGTAAAATGTTTTGGGTGAAAAATAAACTAATTTATTTCCACAATAATCACGATAACTCTAGTATCATGGTATGATTAAAATTTGAAATGACTATGTTGCACAATAGCGTGCTTATATTTTACAAGAAAAAAAATCCCACAATGTAACAGAAGAATGATTGTTTCAACCCAGGCTCATTCTGAATATGTACAGCTATATACATTTCTGGAGAGTGCCAAATATGTCCCAAGAGGTACGTTTTTTTTGCAGTTTTTGTTTTCACTAGTCCGCCAGAAGCCACTGTGTACGCTTTTTAAGATCT